CCCCAAAACCCCAAAACCCCAAAACCCCATTTTCACTAATCATTTTAGTCTAAAATAATAAGTATGAAGACACGTAGTAGGAGCAAACTCGGATCTGTCAACAAGAGTTTAGACAATGTTAAACCTAAGACGAGACCAAAGTCAAAGCCAAATCCCAGGCCTTCTTCAAGAAGGAAGAGTTGATCAAAAAGAGACTCAGTTTCTTCAAGCGCTACTGAAGCTCTCGACTCTAAGAAAGTAGGTACATACAGCCTTAGACGAGCCAGAAAGAAGGTGAACTACAAGGAGAAAAACTATGCTTCTGACCCAGAAGAGGAGAGTCCAATACCACCTTCACAAGGATATGCCAAACAGTCTGCCATTAAGCCTGGAGATAGAAAGATTGGCATTGTTCCTAAAATAATGACTGGGAAGTCCATCATCAACTTGAGTGGGAAAGTAAAAAAAGCAGAAGATGACGATGACATAGTTATGAGTGAAGGAGAAATCTCCCATACAAACCCCAAGATGCAAGAACTTTATGACATCCAACAGAAAAACCAATCTGAATCAGAAGAAGAGCAAATAAACACAAGTCGTAGTATAGATTCCAGTCAGATAAGTAAAAGTAAGCCTGATGTAGAAGAAGAATGGAAAGTGGGGAAAGAAGCAACTGATTCTCCAGAAAGCGATGTATCACTCTATTCTGATCCAGAGGCTAACAAAAAGAAGAGAGGACCTAAAGGGCCGGAGCTCAAAAGTGTTAGAGAACTAATCGAGCATTCAAAGTATAAATAAACTCCTGAAAGCATCCAGAGAGAGTTACAAAAGACTCCAAGAAGGAGAAGCTGACTCTGAAAAAGAAGGAGAGGGTGAAGGAGAAGGAGAACAAGAGAAGGAAGATGGCCATGAATCAGATATATCCCAACCTGTTAAAGTTGAGGAAATCCTCCCATTCATTCCTCCTACAATTAAATGTATTAGGATGCCAAAGCATCTAAAATGGGTTACTATTCATCATTCATCTGTAAGATTTTAGGTTAATCATATAGAAAGTTAACGAAACAGTTCTGATGCAAGAAATAGATGCACTAGATCAAGAGATTGCTCGGCTTAGAGACCTAAGAAAAATCCATCAGGATTTTAGAGAATCAGTCGGATTTCCAAGTAAGTACTTTTCTTACAAATTTTAGTCGGAGTGATGAAATCAGCATGCCCATGATGAGGCCAGTGGACCATCAAGAAACATTTCTGTTTACATGAGATATGCTCTGCTGAGCAATGCAAGCACAAGGCTGTCATCATGGAAACAAAGAGATCTGCGATTGCTAATGGAGAGGAAGACCCATCTCAGCCAAGAAGAGGGCGACCCAAACGATATATAGTCAAAGAAGATGGGATATACGATAAGGAATCAGATAGCTACCTGAGCCAGATGAGCAAATGGGATCCAGACAACTTCATTGAGGATGATATATTCATTATCACTCAGTATACAAAAGAAGAAAGAAAATAAACACATTGAAGAGTTCCTTGAGGAAGAAGATCGGAAGAATCAACAGAGACAGATTATTATTGATAAAGCTATTGAAGATAAGAAGAAGAAACAAAAAGAAATAGAGGAAAAGAAGAAAAAAAGAGAAGAGAAACAGAGGAAAAAGGAAGAGGAGAAACAAAAGAAGCCACGAAAGAGAAGACGGAAGAAGATTGAGGTTGAAGATGAGAAAATTATTAGAAGAATGATACCCGATGAACTAAAATTTTCTCCGAATAAAAATCAAAGTCCACAACAAAATTTGGATAAAAACTTGGTTGATTTATTTCATGATTATGTTCCATCAAATCCTGGGGAGGGAAGACCACTCATGCTTCCTCCAATGATGCCAACGTATAATATGGCGCCTATGAAGCATCCTGTATTACGATTTCGACCAATGATGCCATTTTTGCCTCTAAATCCACCAATGTCAAATCAAAGTAGTGAAACTTTTGGATCTTGTAGTCCTACTCAATTTAACATGAGTCATTCAAATGTGACTCAAAAATCTCAAAATCCGCACGAAAATACCTATAACTCTCTTGAGTTCGGATCACCCAATGCTACTACAGATCACAGCTACTCGAGTGCATTTCTAGATATTATCAATCACTCAAATATGAAGGCCACTAGATCACCAAAAAAGTCATCTAAAAATCCTTAATTCTCAATAAATTTCAATAAATGCTCTGGATAGTGGGGTTTTGGGGTTTTGGGGTTTTGGGG